GATATATTCTTGTAATAATTCTTATTTCTTGTTCTGTCTTGAAAGAGTCTCATCTCAACTTGACCCATGATTACCAAACACTAAACTAATAATATAAAACTAATGTAAATTAACAGTCCTGCAGTAAATACCAACTTTGTGAAGGTTATGGTGTTAAAGTAATTTTATTCAAACATCTTGATTCAGCTGTTATTGTTTAATAGAAGACAGAAAATGAGTTCTTGTACCTTTGTGATACTTTGAATGCAACATTCAGTTCATGAAGTCATTCTCCTCTGGTTCACCTGGAAAACATGAAAACATTGACTCATCTCCACAATCACGTTTTTCTTTAATGATAATGTCACAACTTATGCTGCAGTCTTTGACAAATGATCTATAACTTTACTAAATTACATCAGTCTTGTTGTCATGTTGTCATCATTCTTTGTTAAATCAGGTCTCTCTTGTAAATGAGTCCTCGAGGCTCAATGGGATTTACCTGTAGAAATAAAGGTTGAATGAATCTCTCAGGAAAAAAGACCAAATATTTTCTAGTTGAGTTCAGTAACTGGAATTACCATAAATTTAAAAAAGACCACCTTTCAAAATGTAAGCAGTAATAGATATTTTAAAACGCTGAATTAGAAATAAACCTGTTAAACCGTCATGTTGCAGAGCAGCTGCAGTTAAAACACAACTAGTAATTTAACATGTTTCATTAACTAAAACTGGCGACATGAAGTATTAATGTTGATAAATTGAGGTACAGAACAGTCAGATAACTCTTCACAATGGCAAAAAAGTGTCGTATTTGCATCAACTTACCGGGAAAACACGGAAAATGTACTACGTTCAATGCTGAACCCGCTGCTGTTTGGAACTCTTTGCCGCTTCATGACCCACGTGACTTCCGCATTCCATTCTTTCTATGGGAGTCTATGGGAGTGTCGCAACTCTCTCTTTACAGGGCTCTGGGTTTATCACGTCATGCAAAGCATCGCACTGAAAAAAAATTAGTCCACGCCCACCTGTTGTGTGGGCCCCACCCGGTCCGTATAAATTACGTTAAGAGCGGGTAATCGGCTCCCATTTTTCTTCAGCAAGCTAATAGCACTGTCAGAAGAACAAAGAAGGGAAGTTGTCCAGCTTGACCGGCACAACCTTTGTTAAGGCTGCCTGGGGTCCCGCCACGCCAACCTCCTGCCGTCCCGATGAGTTCTACTCCCCGAGGAGAAGCAGACAAGCAGCCTTATTTCAAGGTAAGCGCCGAGGAATATTTCTCAGTGGCTGGTTGCTACACGCTGGACGACGCCATCGACCCTTTTTTCCTTTTCATGCCGACTCTCGGAGCGAATCGGATGGTTCCTTCGGGAAAGGCGACATCAGCAGCAGCCCCCGCTGCTCACTCCCTCCTGGAGAGCGTAGTGTCGGAACGAGGGGGGCTGAGTGAATGCCCCCCCAGGCCTTTTCGCATCGGCGACCACACCACTCCCAGCTGTCGGTGCCCTCCTCTCGGAGCTGCCTGGCATAATCCAGGAGGCGGCTGACATGAAGGGACTTTTTTTCCGTCCCTCTCCTTCCCCCGCCCAGATCGGATGATCTAGCGGGAAGGTTTTTTGGCTCCACCCCGGCTCGCCGTCCTGATCCCGTCTGGCCTCGTTTTTCCCAGCAGTGACGTTCTACTGGAACGAGGCTTCAGCCGGACCTGGTAGGCTGAGAGCGCCGGTTTCCACATTTGCGCCCGTCACCAGAGTGGAGGGGTTTTACCGAGCGGAAATCTCCTCAGTGCCCCTCTGGAGCCGAGCCTGGTGGAGGCTCTCTGAGCAAAGATGTCCAGTTGGACCAGCGTCCTGCGCCTCTGGGGAGGCATGACCAGACGGTAACGTCGCTCTCCAACCGAGCTCACCAGTATGTGTTCCAGGCGGCCGCAGCGAACAATAATGTTGCACCACTGATGTACAGCATCTGAGAGGCCGGAGGGACAGACCTGCCTGAGGAGACGAAGAGCTCCCTCTGCAAGGCGTCTGACGTCACCCTCAACCCGTGTGCCTCGTCTGCTGTCTGCCTGTCTCGCATCGCAGCCTGGATGACAATGGTTCAAGCATTTTGGGTTTTCATGAGCTGTATGCCATAATCATCAGTATTAAAACAATTAAGACCTGAAATATTTCAGTTGGTGTGCAATGAATCTGAAATATATGAAAGTTTCATTTTTATCATTACATTATGGAAAATAATGACCTTTATCACAATATGCTAATTTTTTGAGAAGGACCTGTATTGTCACATCAAAAAATTAGACTGGAAGCAGCCTGGAAGTCCATTAAACTGAATCATGCTCTTTCTGCTATTTTAAGCAGCCTTTCAGCAGTTTTCTGCTTATTTCTGAATTCTTGAGATGCTTTACACTTTTTTGTGCCCTTCTTTCAGCCTAATTGGGCAAACTTGTGCTCTTTCTGCCTCCTCCTGCTAATTTAAGCTTGCTTCTTGTTCTTCATCTACTATTCAGCTGTTTTCTTCAAATTCTTAAGCATTCACACTGAATTTTCACAGGAAATTCTATAATTCCCTTTGGGATTAATAAAGTATTTGGAATTTATGTATTTATTGGTTATGTTTCCCTATTTATTTATGAGCATATTTTTGAAAAAGAGAAAAATATTTTGTACTGTGTCGATCCTTATTTGTTCAACCTTTTATTTATACAGGTAAATCTCATTGAGCCTCGGGGACTCATTTACAAGACAAACCTGAATTTTAACAAAGACTGATGACAACAGTGGACAACAAAAACAATAGACAATCATAAAAGATGCCTACAAAATGTATTTTAACTAGTGAAAAGAAAACGGTAATTAAGTAAAAGTAGCGAAAAAACGGATTGTAAAGTGGTGTAGAAAACTAAAAACAGGAACATGTCTGCGCTGGAACTTAGATGTTTGAAGCCACTTGGAGAGGTAAGAGAAATGCATGTTTGTTTACCCTGCGGTGCGGGGCTCGGTCTGTTTACATTCACACTGTACTCGAACTGCGCTGGTGTTCTCTTCTACCGGACCGAGACCTAGGTTTTAGCCCGGGCCAGAGTTCGCCTTTTTGTTCCGTGACAGAGTTCGATGGCGCGTTCACACCTCCCTAAACGAACCGGGCTTTCTAGGAAAACGAGCTAGAGTTCGATTAAAGTGGACTAAACAGGGCTGGTGTGAATGCACCCTTAGTCTAGTTCAGTCCTCACTGAGAGAACACTGCAGGTAATAATGTCCTGAGAGCGCACGCTGTAGCTGCACTCACAAAGTGACATGTAGGAGACGCATGAAGGCAACAGACCAAGAAGTGATTTAAAGATAAAATGTACCAGTGGGAGAGTCTGTGTGAGGTTAATGATGACCAGTTAACCAGTGAATACAGGGTGCAGTGATTGGTACGATAGTTGCAGCCAGTTATGAATCTTGGCGCACTGTGATAGACATCATCCAGCATCTGCAGGGTGCTTCACCATATAAATATAAATGTATAATGTAATGTAACATATAAATAACGTCACCACAGTCAAGGGAAGGTAAGTTACAGTTACAAGGTGTTTCCTAGAATTCAGTTAAACAGGATCCATTTATGAACAAGAAACCCAATTTAACTTTCAGTTTTCTTACTAGATTTTCCACATGAAGCTTAAAAGAGAGATGCGGATCGACCAATTACCAGTTGTCATAGCTAGATGTGAGCTAAGGTCATACCACAACACAAGAGTGGCTCCTCACCTGTTGATTTGATAAAACCACAAAGATAGCTTCAAAATATGAGCTTTAATTTCGTCTTTAAACAGGATCACAAAAAAACAAACAAAAAAACAATATAATGATGTATAAAAATGTATAAAGAATCATTTCAAATGACAATAGACAATACATGTATGTTCTTTGGCTGAAGAAGCCTGTTGGAAGCTGGTGATAACATTAGGGTTGAAACACTGAACAAAGAAAAGCTTTAAATGCATTCACTACTTTCCTACAACAAAGACACGTCATTGTTCATCATAACAAAAGCAGAAACATCCAAACTCCATGTTAACTGTCTGCAATGACACATAATACAAGTATTTCCAGTGGTTTGTCACTTGGAATAAACACGCAAACTGAAGGTATCTTGATTTTAAAAAAAGCTTATATATCTTTATGTGGTACAAAATAATCTAATATAAAAATAACACTGCTCAAGAACATCAACTGAACTAAACCTTCAGCAGAACTACAAACACCGGGCAACAGAAAGCTGAGACGTTCTGATATCATTTGGAGAGGGCTGAAGGAAGCAGGCAGAAATGGTTTTAGATTTTTAACCAAAATCACAAGTTTCATAACATGTTATCTGTTAACACAACTGGGTGAACAGCATCCATCTTACATAGCAATTTAACAGTTTTTAAATGTTTTTTTTATATTTTAAGTTAAGTTCACTGTGAATTGAAAATCCTGTCCTGTTAAAAATGTTTTTTGCTAAACTTGATCAAAATGAGATAACAAAATGAAAACAAACCAGAAAAAAAAATAATGAAAAAAATCTACATCAATAAACATAGAAGAGGTACAACAAAATTGTTATATATGGTATATGATGTAGTTTTATAATTAACATATGCAGCAGCACATCTTTTTGTTTTACGTTCATGTTTTCTCACAAATGGGCACACATTTCAAACGGCTGACAGATCCAGAAGACAAAGAGGTACCCAGAGAAGAAACTCGTCGGAAGAAACTGTATTTGAATGATGATGGAGACAACAAATGAATGTTTAAAGAAGTTTGCCTTCTGTCCTTTTCTTGGAGAAGTGACCAACAACAAAGGCTTGAAATTAAAAACATCACAAGTTTAAAACGTCAACACAAAAATCTATGAGTCAAAGCCTGGAGGATCAGAGACTGGACAGTAGTTGTTACACAATGATGGGCAGCGCTGTTCTGGTCTCAACCAAACAAAGACAATCAGTTAATGCTCTGAATTAACAGCAGACCTAAATCCTGTTGATTCTGTTCAAGTCTGAAATGTTAAGGTTGCCACAACTGAGCCTACGAGGCAGTGACTCCTTCCCACTCCACCAAATACTGCACCTTGCCATCAAGCGTGACCCGTCGGGCCAGGACCTTGTACTTCTCCCCACAAGCCAGACGGCCCGCTACTCCAAAATAGCTGCTGATAGAGTTCTTGAGGTGTGAGAGCTGACTGTTGGGGTCCATGCCATGAACTATGTCTGTGGAGTGAATCCCCGTGAGGGTAAGCATCTCTTTGGCTGAAGGGTTTGTTTCTGCGTGGCTGGGTGGAGGGGGGATCTGTGGATTGGGGGCCTGCAGGATTCGTCGTGGTCGCCCACGTTTTCGTTTTAAAGGTGGAGAAATAAGAGGCATGTGACAGGCTGTGCTCTGCGTCTTGCTGGAACTACAGAGGCTGAAGGTTGTTTGTTGAGGGGAAGTAAAAGAAAAACAGGAAATACATTTGTTGTCAAATCTTACAATACAATGAGGTAAATATGAATTTGTTCATTGTTTCCTGAGTGGGATATTTATTTCAGTAAAAACATTATAGCATGTTAATGGTAAAGCTGCAAAATGCATAAAAACAAGTAAAAGGTTCATCACATTTGTTTATGTTGAGCCTCCTGGGGCCTGATGTTTGAAGCAGGATCAGTGCTTTATTAACAGACTTCAGATCTGGTTTTTAGTCAAAAGGCTGGACCCTAAATTACAAAGCAGGTTCAACTTACCCAGGGTTACAATGAGAGATCTGGTTCAGCTAATCCTAACAATGAACTGGATTAGGGCTGCAAAATTCTGGGAATTCTTAAAATTGTAAACTTTCAACTCAGGCACTCCCTATTTTTATGCATAAATGTAAGGAAGTCTTTCATAATTTAGAGCTATTTAACAATAATGATAATAATAATAAAAACACAATTTTCCTATCTAAAAACAGTAGAATCAAAAACTGGGGCAAATATATATTTTTTGTTTTATGTGGTCTCTCTCATGAAGGAGTGCAAATTGACCAAAATATCCAAAGGTAGGAAGAGAAACGTCATTTACAGTCAAAAAACATGAGCCAATTCATGAAGTGGTGAAAAACCACTTCTTGGTGCCACCGAGCTAAATCTACATCGTTGGGATTAGTTAGACTAGACTTCCTAAAAAATCCCTGGTTATACTGAACCGGTTGTTTAGTACAGGTCTCTGATGAGAGGGTTGATATCAGAATCAGAATGCCTTTATTGTCATTATACGCAGTACAATGAAATCAAGAGAATTTCTGATAGTTTGAAGTCAGTGCAGTTGAACCCTTTCAGAGTAAAAGTCTGTTTAGCAGGTAGAATCAAGCAAATTAAGAAACTTTGGCAGATATTCACATTTCAGTATTTACAGTTTAACACCTGACGTAGACGTCAGACGATATAGACGTTATAATAAAAAATATGTTGAATGAATCATTTTGGCTTTTAAGATGTTTCAAAGAAATAAACTGTACACTGGAGGGAAAAAAACTAAATCATATGCTATCACCAACGTATCTAGAGATTATCTGCCAAAGATAAAAATAACACTTTGGGCTGTTCCATCTTAAGGGGTTGCCACAGCGAGTCATCTTCCCTCATCACTCCGTCTACATCTTGTCCTCTCTAACTGCATCTACAAGTCTCCTCTTTGTCTTTTTCAATATTTTACTATGATAGGAGCCTGATTTTTTTTAACCCTTCTATTCTTTTGTCCTCGTCTTATTTGCTCAGTGCCTGTTGGTTGGGACGCATGAAGACACAAATCGAGGAGAGGAACAGAGGATATGAAAAGTGGAAAATGAGATCTGGGGTCAGGGTCACACCACACATACCTGGACTGTCTTGAAATGCTCGTTGAGGTAGTTTCTGAGGTGCTGAGAGCTCCAATCGATTCCACGTCTGAAGTTCGAAATGACTGCAAAGACCGATCACTCCTGGTGCTGTGGGCAGGACCAAACATGAGAGGGGGAAATGGGACGTTCAATAAAATAAAAACAATCAGAAAGACATTAAGTTACCCATTTGTGTCTTTAAAAATTGTACAACTGGTCTGGTATGTTTCCCATCACTAAAGAAATTCAATAATGAATGTTTGTAGTTGAGATGTAGTTCTTTTTTCAATATTGGATTTTGACATGGCAATTTTGGATAGTGACTTTTCTTTTGCTGCAGCCACACGCCAAAATGGAAGTCGGCTTGTTGCTTATTTTTTATATTACCCAGCTCATAAGGTTTACATGCATACAAATATGCTGGCAGCCATCTTGGATTTTGACATGGCAACCCAAATTTTGACAGGGATCTTTCTTACGTTTAAATACAGCAGCAAAGCAATTTGGCACGTTGCTCATTTTTCAACTTCTCCAGCTCACAAGAAGGATGGACATAAATGGCAGCAGCCATCTTTGACTTTGAAGTGGCAGCCCAATTTTTGAGTGATCTTTTTTACGCCTAGATACAACATTACACCAAAATGTCATATCTCACTTATTTTTCAAGTAATGTCCACAAGACGGATGGTGGGTATTTCCAAGTTCCCCTCTTTATGCCACAAAGGGGATCAAAAATACTGTGAAAAAATATGGGGGAAAATCTAGGATGTGTGACAGCACGTGTGTGTGTGTGCGCGTGCTGGTTTAGGTTGAATTGAATTGGTAAACTATCTCATGGACTGCTGGACGAGTTATTGAAACTTTCAGAAAGTATTCACTGAATGTACATCTAGAACAGAATTAATTTTTGGAGCTAACCCGATTCAAGATGGCTGTCACAGTCTGATCTTAAAAAAATTCTAAAGCATTTGTTTCAATGGCTGTTATTTTTTCCAGATATTCAGCTAAAGTTTATTATGATTGTGGTTCAGACTCATCACCAACACATATTGAGACCTTTTTTTTAATGTTGCCAATACTTATGTGAAGTCAACTTTGTCCGATTGAAAAATATCTCATTAACTTCTGGACAGATTTTAATGAAATTCTCAGAAAATACATTTCTGGGTGTATGTCTACAGCTTATTAATTTTTAGAGTAACTTCCATTTCAAGATGGCCACCACAGATCTTCACCATTAGCAAACACAAAAATGGCTACAACTCAGTTAATACAAATCAAGCTAAAATTGATGTGGTAGTAGTAGCTGAGAGTCATTCACAACACATACTTTGAGCTGGGGATCTCACAATATTGCATGAGACTGTGTATAATATTCTTCTCAACATAACACGATCTTAGTCTAAAATTGGTATTGAAAATGGTGAACAATATGCATTTCTCCAAGGAATTTTAGTCTTTAATAAAAAGAAATAAAAATGTTTTAATGATTACCGGTAGTTTGTTGTGTTACTTTTAAAAAATTACACTTTTTTCCAAGAGTCAGAAAAACAAAACAAAAACAAAAAGATTCTAGTGAAAACTGTCATCTATATGGAGTCACATACGGGAGTAGGTGGTCAAATATTGTCCCCAAAACATTTGAGTTATATTCTTGTACAGTAGTCCCTCACTACTTCACGGTTCAACTTTTGCGGACTCGCCCTTTCGTGGTTTTTCAAAGTAAGATTGTACACGAGAAAAAAAAATAAAAAATTGTACATGAGACACGATTGTCAACTTTATTACTCGTGACTGGGACAGTACGGGATACAGTAAAAAGTTAAATTAAATACTTCAAACAGGTGCCGCCATTTTGTAGTTTTCTCTCGACAAGCCTTCACTATTGTCGCTCAAAAAGACTACATTTCCCAGAAGCCAACAGTGCTTCCAGCTGTTGCCTTCTGCTGAAATGGAGGGAAAGTTCTGATACGATCCGAAAAAGTTTGGTCTTTATTCATAGTAACTTTGGCGTCCACCAGATGCAAAGAGCAGCACGGAACTGACCGGAAACTGGACCAGAACTAGACCTCCAGACCCATCGGTAAATGAGGCCTACCAAGTGGGGAGACGCCACCCGGAGGGCAGGCGTTCTCTCCGGAGACCACCGGGACTTCCCCCTCTGGATATGTACTTGAATGGGACCTCTGTGTGGTCCTGTGCTAGCTATCCGAAGGTACGGCTCCCTCCAAAAGCATTTTGGTGCTCAAGGACTGCAGAGAGTCGACGAGAACTGGCAGGGTAGATCTATCGAACTGGAACCAAGCCAATGTGCTCTGCAGAGCTGGTGAGTAAAATTTTAAAGTACTCTACAGTACATATAAGTATGTTGTTAAAATTACTTAGGATTAAGAATTCAGAATATTGCAAGAGTGTGGGAAGGGTTTCTAAAGCCTTAAAATATATATAAATACTAATATAAATATAACATCCCTACTTCGCAGATTTTCAGTTATTGCGGGATGGACCGGAACGTAACTACCGCGATAATCAAGGGACTACTGTATGTTCTTGTACAAGTGACAAGCGTCTCCGACTGCCTCAGAATCAGAGTCAGAGACTCTTTATTGTCATACACACCACATGTGGTACATGTGGGACAAAATTATGTACACAGGGTCCCAGTTACATCCAACAATAAAATGTAAATGAAAAACAGTAAGAACATCTAAGATATGAACTAAGAAAAACGTCAACTAAAAATATACACCAAGCACTAATAGCATAAACCTTACGTCGAACAGCAGCACCAATATGAACATGAGTCTGTGTGAGCAGATGAGCACGCATGAACACATCAACATTGAAACAGATCAGCAGCAACATGATGTGATTTTTCACAGTGATTATTCTAGTTAGAGATTCATGAGTCTAACAGCTTCAGGGTAGAAGCTGTTCCTCAGTCTAGTGGTTCTACACTTAATGTTCCTCAACCTCCTTCCTGAGGGGAGCGGAGCAAAAAGCACGTGTGCTGGGTGAGTGGGGTCCTTCATGACACAGGTGGCTCTCTTCCTGCATCTAGAGGTGTAGATGTCTGTGATGGTGGGGAGACTTGACTCCGACAGACTTCTGTGCAGCCTTCACCACTCTCTGCAAAGCTTTTCTTTCTGCAGCTGTGCAGCCTCCATGCCACACGTTGATGCTGGAGCACAGGATGCTCTCCACTGCACACCTGTAGAAGGAGGTGAGGACTGAGCTTCCCAGACCAGCTCGTCTCATCCGCCTGAGGAAGTAGAGTCTCTGATGAGCTTTCTTGATCAGGCTGGTGGTGTTGTTGCTCCAGCTGAGGTTGTCATTCATGTGTACACCCAAGTACTTGTAGCTGGAGACCACTTCCACCGCAGATCTTCTTATGTTCAGGGGGGTGTAGGTGTGTTTGTTCCTTCTGAAGTCCACAATAATCTCCTTTGTCTTCTTCACATTGATGTGAAGGTTGTTCTCCTTGCACCAGCTCTCCAGGTGTTCCACCTCCTGCCTGTAGCTGGACTCATCATTGTTTGTGATGCATCCCACCTCCGCTGTATCATCTGCAAACTTTACAATGTGACAGCCTGGATGGGTAGCTGCACAAATCATAAGTGAGCAGAGTGAACAGGAGAGGGCTCAACACACATCCCTGAAGAGAGCCAGTGCTGAGGGTTATGGTGGAGGAGGAGAAGTTGAATTCAGAATGTGGCCTGAGCAACTGTATCTAAAATAGTCCTCTGTCTGTCCTGGGTGTGTGCACACCTGTTCCATTTCTGACTGGAGATAGGACACACTGGTGCACTCATTTAAAAAGTAGTGTGTTCAAATTACCTTGATATTTAAATTATAGTGTAACAGCTACATAAGTTGCAACCTGAACCTCTGAATCAGTGTGCTGAACATGCTCTCATGACATTATATATGCTGACAGAATACAATCAATTTTGTGAAGTTACTTCATGTTCGAACATATGAACACACGACAGCTTCAGATACATTTTTTACTTTCTCACTTACGTAACAGAAGTCAAATGATCCAATGCATGAGACTCTAGTGGGAGAGGTTTTCTGGTTTCCTGTCAAGTAAAGTAAAATTTATGAACATTTTCTCAGCCTCTACAGTAAAGGTGTAAGTTTTATAACATCAGTGGCCTCATGTGTTTACACCTATACAAAGGAGTGATGTAAAAATGTTCATCCTTCTCAGAACAAAGCCCACACCCAGCTCAAGACGTGTACAAACACTAACACAAACAAACATACACACCAGAGGCAGGAGTTCACTGGACCGTTGTGGTTTAGCCAGGGCCTCCAGAGAACGTGCCTCTTGCTTCCTCTTTTTCTTTTTTTTCTTTTTCTTCTTCTTCTTCTCTGTACCATTAGTTAGAGCACTGGGACTTCTAGAGCAACAAGAACATTTCAAAACAATTACAACAGCTGTGTATAAGGCAGTCACACATGACAAAGCCATTAATTTGAAAAAAAATTTAATTACACATTTTGTTGTTTTGTTGCACTTGCTACTTCTACAATTATGCTTTGAGCTTTGAAATCACTTCACAATAAAGGCATTATGTTCAAATTTTCTAATTGACAACCATTAGTCAACAACAGACAATTGGCAATATTTATGCAAAGGTATGTTTGGGTTTCTTTTTTTTATGTGGGCAGGGCCAGCAATCCCCATTGATTTTCTATTTCCAGTATGTCAAACTGTGAAAGACCCTTCAGCCAAAATTAATAAAGACATGGATCTTATGTTACTTTGATTTTAAACCAAAGAGTTACTCAAAACTCTTGACAAGAATGAACTCTTGCAGCTCTATATGACCATACACAAAGGAGAGTGCCAACTTGTGTTCACAATCCATATGGGATACCTCAAGGTATAAGTCTTGGTCCAATGTTGTTCAATACGTATATGGTTCTATATGTACAGTACTGAAAAGTAAAAAGTATTCACCCCTTGGATATTTTATACTTTTATTGCTGTCAAAAATCAATCATGACCAATGTAAACAGGCCTACTTAAAAAGAAAAAAAACATTTCAAAGTAAAATCTAATTTCTAAAGAGAATCCTAATAAAAATGTTATTTCAATAATCTCTCATGGCTCCTTTCACGGTCACACAGTTTGTGAGGATGAACTGCTTTTGGTGGATTTTCTTGTCCCATATTCATTCTGTTTCTTGATGATGGGTTTAACAAACTCATGGGGATGTTTGGGGCCTTTGAAATACTCCTGTGCCCATTCCGACTTGTACTTTATCGTCTATAGGGCTGAAACGATTCCTCGACTGATTCGAGTACCTCGATTACAAAAAATCCTAGAGGCAAATTTATCTGCCTCGAAGCTTCGTTAAACTATTCAGAGCACTGTGGTGTACCCGGAAGGTTTTTGTGTTACACAACGCTAGCACTTCTGCTAGCGCGTATGTGTAAGTTTGTAGCTATGGAGGGAACGGAGATTGCCTAGAAGAAGAGCCCTGAAAACAACAAAAACTGTCAAAAGTTTGGGAACATTTTAGGCTAAACAGAAAAGACTAGTGTAATGCATCCACTGCAAAGCAGAACTGGAGTAACCACAACAGCACATCATCGATGTTGCAGCGTCTGAAGAGAAAAAGTTGGTTACGTACTGTAACCCCAGATTCTATGAGTATAGGCGTAACCCTTTAAGAGCTGTCGCTAGTGGGTTTATCCCGTCATGTCAAGCATTGCACTGAAAGTTTAGTCCACGCCCACCTGCTGTGTGGGCCCCACCCGGTCTGTATAAATTACGTTAAGAGCGGGTAATCGGCTCCCAAATAGCTTTTTCAGCTATTTAGGAGCCAGTGAGGCCCGACGCTTAAAGGGCTACGCCTATACTCATAGAATCTGGGGTTACAGTACGTAACCAACGTTCTATTTCGTATAGGCTTCGCCCTTTAAGAGCTGTTGCTAGTGGGTTAAGGGCGAAGCAGATGTGGTCCTCGCCTCACTGGGTCCATTCGAACACCATACGAAGCGGCAGCTTGCCCAAAAAAACGTCTCGTCACTCAGCTCTCCATGTGCGTAATTACACATTGCGTAATTATGCGTACCATGCACAGACGCATGCTGTGTAGTTATGAGTTCTGAGTGCATGAACGCCCCGGAAACTTTCAACGGGGAAAGGAAGATGCTGAAAAAGGGCCATGAACCAACAGATTCACGGCTGATCAATATGAACAGATTAATAATAAGTGAACTGATTATTAATCAAATGAACTGAATGGTAACACTAGTCATGAACTGATTAATGACAATAGAATAAAAATAACAGTCACAACTTGTGGCTGATAACATCTCACACTGTAATGCATGCAGTCAGATGTGAGTTTAAACAAGGTTCCATGAAACAACAAAATTCATTCTGTTAGAGCACTAAGGACAGAATGTGTCATGAAACGAGCCGTCACATCACGTAGATAGAAACTAATAAATGAGTAGGATGTTGACCACGCGGCCGCAGTGCAAATATCCTGCATTGTCATACCATTATGCAAAGCAGTCGAAGATGCGATACTTCTGGTCGAGAGCGCCCTGAGGTTATCAGGAGGCTCGAAATCCGATGCTCTGGAGGCTTCAGAAATGGCCTCACACAGCCAGTGTGACAGGCGCTGGGTGGATAATGAGCGACCTGCAGATGCATCTCTATAATGCACAAACAAATGTTGAGTTTGACGCATTGCAGCTATGCGCGCTATGTAACACGTCAACGCCCGCACAGGACAGAGCAGACGGAAAGATGTTTCTTCTTCTGATTTGTGGGGGGGGGAGGGAAAAACCCCTCCAACGAGATCACTCTTGATTTAAAAGAGCTCGTGATGTTTTAGGCATAAAAGCTGGATTCGGTCTTAGATCAGCTGAGCTGCCATCAGCCTGAATTCTAAGACATGACGGAGCGACAGAAAAGGCAGATGAAACACTCACCCTCTTAGCGGATGTTAAAGCCAACAGCAGGGCTGTTTTAAGAGACAAGAATTTAATTGGAACCTGATCCAGAGGCTCAAATGGAGCTTTGATCAGGGCTCGCAGGACCAGCGTTAAATCCCACTGTGGAACAAGTGGGTGTGAAACAGGCCTGCGTCTTTGTACATCTTTTAAAAAACGCTTCATCAGCAGATGATTAAAAGCTGTTCTGTCCCCGAAACCTTCGTGACAGGAAGAGATGGCTGCAGCGTACGTTTTAATCGTGCTGAACGCCAAATTTCTGTCTATCAGCTGCTGCAGAAAGGACAGCACGCCGCCTAGTGGACATGAGGTGGGCTCTACATCTTTCTCTGTACACCAGCACTGAAAAACTGTCCACTTTGATATGTACAGCGCTGTGGTGGATGCAGCATTTGAATCCTGGATTGTGCGCACTACATCTTGCGGGAGACCCATCCTCTCTAAAACGGATCCGCTTAGCAGCCAGACCCACAGGTGCTGGCCTATTTCTAGGTAACTCCTGATCGCTCCTCCCGCCTGGAGGAGTGTGTCCTCCCTCCACGGCAGTTTCCACGGGCGCCCCGATAATAGGCGTCGTAGAACCAGGAACCATGGGGCGTTCACGCGCTTGGGAGCCACCAGGAGAGCCGTCAATCACTCCTCCTGAACTCGGTTCAGAAACCGTAATATCAGAGGAGGTGGGGGGAACGCGTAAAGAAGCGTTTTGGGCCATGGGCTGTGAGCAAACGCGTCCACCCCCAGCGGAGGTTCGTCTCGCAGGCTCAGTGAAAACCATAGTTGACACCAAACGTTTTCTCGTGTCGCAAACAGGTCCACAGCCGCTTTGCCAAATTTCTGCCACGTCTGGGCCATCAGATCGAGGTGGAGGGTCCAGTCCCCGTGACGCGGTCCACCCCTGGACATCACATCTGCCCCTTGTTCAGAACACCGGGGATGTACACTGCTCTGATGGAAAGCAGATTTTGGTGTGCCCAACACAGTAGTTTTCTCGCAATGTGTAACATTTGGGCTGAGCGCACACCCCCCTGCCAGTTTATGTAAGCAGCAGTAACCTTGTTGTCTGTGTGAATCAAAACGTGTTGATTCTGCAGCACAGGAGAAAAGTGTTTGATCACATTCAGAACCGTGCGACATTCCAGAACGTTTATATGAGCTGTTCTGAGAGAGGCCACAGCGCCCCTACAGCTCGAGATAGGGATGTCACCCCCCCAACCTGACAATAACGCGTCTGTGAAGACTGACACGTGTGACGTAGGTCTGCTGACAGGGACTCCCTCCGACAGAATCAGGGGTTTTTCCCAGTGTCGGAGATCTGTTCTCACGGAGGGAGGAACAGTGATCATCCGTCTCTTTTGCTTTACCGGATCCACGCGCAGACGAGCAAAACCATCTCTGGAGGCGTCGCATGTGTAGTAAGCCCAGCGGGACTTAAATCTACTGACTAATCATAGTTGCTACCTGGCAGGGTCTTTAGGTTGTGTGAGAAAAAAAAACAACAGCTATGCAGGACTTGATGCAAGTTTGTTAATGATAAAAACCCAGCAACAGACTGACAGCATGAGTTGAAACATTTATTTATCGCTGTACTTCCACCCTGACTTAAAAGAGATTTAGGGTGAATCTTTCAAGTGTAAACGTATTTACATGAGTTAGTATGATTTTTTTTTTCCTTCTTGCTACTGGTTATGACTTAAAAACTGGGATTAATCTGCATTTATTACTACTGTCATATTTGTTTATAGCTAAGCAATCAAGACTAAATAATAATACAGCCTGCAGAACTCGATGTACAAACTCAAACTGTACATTATCTATTTTACTCAGTTTCTAACAAAGATTCCATTCAGTTTTCCAATCCATAAAAAATATTTACAGTATTAAGATTTTTATGTGATTGTTAAAAATAATTAAACTTAAGCAAAAAAATATTTTAAAAAGAGGAACTAAATGGGTTGTTTATGTAAATGTTCTTTTATCGTGTATTTGTATTACTCATAAAATGAGTATGGTAGTTACTGCAGAACCTGACAAATTATGTTTTCGATTACTTGATTAATCGCCAGACTAATCTATAGGTTTGTCGATTACTAAAATATTTATTTACTACAGCCCTCGGTCACTTGTGACCACTCTAAAGGAGTTTCAGCATGTGAGATGGAAGAGCCAGTGCATACAACTGTTGCCCAGGTTTTTCACCAGCTTCATGAAAGTGGCAAAGAGTTCTGACATCTGCACGAGAGCTCTTGTCTGAAAGAAAATATTTGAGACAAATGTCCATGTCTAAAAACTACAAGAATAAATAAAAAATAATAAAACCCTATCGGGTAGTCAAAATATTCCTGTTTATCAAGTGTACCAGTACTACAGTGGGAGTTGTGACGCAGAGGTTAGAGAAGGTGGGCCTGTGATTGGAAGATCGTCGGTTCAACTCCCAGTACCGACAACATCAAAATGTGGGTGGGATAGGTGAAGCACCCACACCTGCCTCCACCCTCATGCTCCATTCTGGGCACTTGAGCAAGGTCTTTAACCGCCACCATCTGCTCCTCAGGGCACCCTAGATAGCAGCTCTCTGCTCCACACAAAGGGCTGCAGTTGAGTCAGGAAGGGCATCCGGCGTAAAAATAATTGCCAAGTCTTCGTGCGACTTATTTCGTTGTGGCAACCCCTGATGAAGGGAGCAGCTGAAAGTAGAAGAAAAAATATATCAAGTGTACTACAGTAGATAGACCCCTACAGTGGAAAGGGCCGAGATGGTGTAAAGGTAGGGCAGCCGACTTGGGACCAGAAAGTTGCAGGCTCAACTCCCCGCCATCCCCACAAGTTGTGGTGTCCTTGAGCAAGACACCTAATCCCCAATTGCTCCCCGGGCGCTTACATAGCTGCCCACTGCTCCACCTGGATGTATCTCACGTGTGATGGGTTAAATGCAGAGAATTAATTTCATCATTGTATGTTCCCATACAATGATGAAACACAGCACTTTTTTATATATATAAGAGGACATTTTAGATGTGGGGGGCAGCTGTCAAGGTGAGTACAAAATAAGCCGAAGAAGGTACTATGAGAGTATAGATGGGCATAAAAAAAACGGATGCAACGTAAAATACCGCTTTTCAAACTGCACATAAAAATAAGCAGTGATTTTTAAAATCTAGCCATGTTTTGCACAACCTTGGCTGGTCACACAGACGCTGAATTCAGGGAAACTTCTACAAAAGTTTTTTGTTTTTTTTCTTGCAATTGATTGCAATTTTGAGTTGCCAACTAGTCTATGACAGTCCTAACCCAGTGAGATACTACTTTTAGAAATCTTTCCTTGCCATGCTTTATGGTTTTGGATAAAACTATAATGTTGTAATAAATAATGTAAAAAAAAAAAAGAGAGGGAGAAAAAAGAAAGGCAAACACCAAAGTAAAGCATTTGTATAGTTGGCAAAGATTATGAAAGCTCCACAAGATGCAAGAAGAACCTGCCATACTATTCACAGTTAACCGTTATAAAAATGTGTTTATGAATAATATTTATTTTGTTATACACTGCCTGGCCAAAAAAAAGTTGCCACCTGGATTTGGCTAAGCAAATAGGTACGAGCCTCCTATTGAATAATTACTTCATGGACAATCTTTCAGCTGGCAACAAGTTATTTAAGCCCAAATGGTCAATGAATTGCTTATTTCTTAAACAACCATGTCGAAAAGACACATCGCGTGGTCGTGGAAAAGATTTCAGTCTGGTTGAGAAGGGTCAAATCATTGGCACCAAGCAGAGAAAACATCTCAGGAGATTGCAGAAACTACTGAAATTGGGTTAAGAACTGTCCAACGCATTATTAAAAACTGGAAGGATAGTGGGGACCCATCGTCTTAGAGGAAGAAATGTGGCCGGAAAAAAATTCTGAGTGATTGTGATCGGCGATCACTTAAAACGTTTGGTGAAATCAAATTGAAGAAAAACAACAGTAGCACTCAGGGCTGTGTTTAATAGTGAAAGTAAGAACATTTCCACATGCACAATGCGAAGGGAACTCAAGGAACTGGGACTGAACAGCCGTGTAGCCTTAAGAAAATCAGTGAGGCTAACTGGGAAAAAAAGCTTCAATTTGCTAGGGAGGCTAAAGATTGGACTCTGGAGGAATGGAAGAAGGTCATGTGGTCTGATGAGTCCAGATTGACCCTGTTCCAGAGTGATGGGTGCATCAGGGTAAGAAGAGAGGCAGGTGAAGTGATGCACCCATCATGCCTAGTAGTCATCAATGCAAGATCTCGGTGAAAAATTATTGCAACACTACTGGATGGAAATAGATCTTGTGACATTGCAGAAGATTATTGAAACAATATCACAGTAAATGCTGCTGTAATCAAATCTAAAGGCGGTCCAACAAAATATTAGTGTGTGACCTTTTTTTTGGTGGCGACTTTTTTTTGAGCCAGGCAGTGTATAAAAACAAGTGTAATCATCTTGAATGAGTGACTCCCAGCTCAGCAAAAAACGCACCTCATCGTTTGTCCAGAGCACTGATGCCATCTTTTACGTTGCCATTTTTTCTAAAGAAAAACAGTAGTGCTCTCTCACACAACTGGCCAGAAGAAAGTAGCTGAAAGAAATAGCAGTAAAGAGAAGTCGCTGGAAGTAGAGAAGTAGACTCATCTGTGACGTGACCCCCACCGGACCAGCAGACTAATCAATGGCCAGCAGTCTGCAGACAATCATATGGTTAGGATTGGCTTGGGTTTCCTGAGCTATCACTTAGTTATGCAACTATAGGCTTAGACTGCTGGAGGACAAACTGACCGCATTTCCTCACTCTGCTGCTGTCTTTACTTGCTCTACTCTGCCTGTTTGTATTTGAAAGTACTTCTATCCTTAACATGTATTTTTTCTATTTCCTCCTCCAGAAAGTACACCTGGACCCGTCATTCTGTGTTCGTTTGTTTCTCCTTCCTGTTCTCTCAAACTCAGTTGGTCAAAGCAGATGGCCACTCATCCTGAGCCTGGTTCTGCTAGAGGTTTTTTCATGTTAAAAGGGAGTTTTTCCTTTCCACTGTTGCCTTTGTGCTTGCTCAGGATGGGAGAGTTGACGAAGTGAAGATTCAGCACAGTCTGCTGGCTTCCTTAGATAGATAACTTTTACTAAAGGACTTTTTTTAATGTATGTGAACGTTTCTGTTCAGTGCCCTGAGACAACTTCTGTTGTGACTTGGCGTTATATAAATAAACTGAACTGAACTGACATCAAATATACAGCACCAGCCCAGCGCCCAAATGGAACCCCAGATCTCTTGGTTCCAAAAATTGAGCTGGAACTGCCCAATGCCAACACTCAAAACCCGAGGCAGAACCCAGGTCGGGCCGGGCCTTACAATGCATAAGGGCCTTTTGTTAGTCAGATAGTCTGTGTTTAAAAGTTTGCAGCAATCTGGGCAAGTGTTGATTTTGAAACGGCAGGTGTCTGTAAACATGCCACATTAGGTTTGTGTGGCATGAGTAAGTTGATATGCGAGAAAAAATATTCATCAAAAAGCAGCTTCATTTTTGTCAGTTTTTTTATGAAAGTTAGACAATTTCATTGTCTGGCTATCTGTAATTGTCTTGTAAATCAGGCTAGATCAAAACCACATCTTAACCGCATGGTGCAGCAGAGTTGTCAGACTCAACATTTTGAAAAAGGGTTTCCAGAAACATACAAGTGACATTTTTGTTAACACACAATGTATTCCAGTAAGATACAATTGTATTAGAATAAATATTTCTTTAAAATATTTATCTTTTTCTTTTAGTCTGTTGCATCTTGTCATTGTTTTTTACTATGATAGTATTAATTTTACCCAGACATTGCTGCTTTTTTTTTTTTTTTTAACAAATACATTCTGCACATGTTTACAAAACAATTTGTAATAGCATGCTGGACGGCAGTCACTTGAAAACAGGTTTGAGGTTTTACTTGTTTAAAATGGAATGAGTGAATTGCACTTAAGATGATCAGTGTCCATCCATCCATCCATTATCTTTACCCACTTCTTCTTTTTGGGTCGCCAGTGACCATGTCCAGCAATCACAGTGCGAGAGGCGGGGGACACTAATTGGATGCGAGTTGCCATTTGGACTTTTTCTTATGTACTTAGATGACTTGTTGTAAATTGTTGTTTCATAAACAAACTGAAATGAAACAATCGAGATGTAAAAGCTCATATTTAAAAAGGACATCTTACTTCCTTGCAGACAGAGCTTTGGTGGACTTGCATCCTTTGATGGTGATCTCATGCGAAGCTTTCTCCATCATCTTGTAAGATGGTTCATCACAGTTGGGGGGAGAAGGGGGAAATCGAATCCTGAGGCCAAATAAGTGTTTCTTTTTCTTTACCTCCTTTCCCGACATGAATCTGGAAGAGACGGGTGAGGAAATGGTAAGTGCACACACATGTAAAAACAGAAAATTATGGCATTTAACAAGAGGTTAAAGTAGTACAGACACACAACGAGCTAACTTACGTGCAGCTATTGCTGTTTAAGGCCTCGAGAACATGATCACATCGCTCTGATCTTGGAGTGTTGGCAAGCTAAGGTCCAAACAAAAAGAAAATTGAGAGCCATAACTTGCATAAGTGTCTTCTCTGGAAAATATGAATGTTTATGGGCTGACAATACTTTACATGTGCCCACCCCCCCAGGTAAAAAAAAAAAAAGTAATTTCTATGACCCAATCTTAAATATTAAATGCTAGAAAGTCAAAGAACATTGCCGTAAATGTAGGAATCTATGTGTAATTGCCCACTGCAGTGTCCTTACCTCGCCCAGCTGCAACACCTCCCAGTTTTCAATGATGTAAGCCATCAGCTCCATGTCAAAGTCAAAATACTTCTTCTTGTGGATTACACTCAAGTTGTACAAACTCAGATGAACCACATCCTTCCTGAAATAGTTTAGGGAAAAAAACTTTTTTCAAGCTGCTTGCAGAAGAGCTGCATATAAATCAAATGCATTTAAAATAATTTTAAAAAAGTTATCAATTGGAATAAGTGAGAGGAAACAAACATGTTTCAGGGCTGACATTTAATCAAAAGAAAGCTTTCAGATTTATAATTTGCCGAGTTTGTATTTCATAATATTCCCGTTTAACTTATTTCTAAGGTACAGATGGACATACCAGTTGAGAGGCAGCCGGCTGAGGTACTCTGGTCCACTGTTGCACACTGAACAGATGAAGACATAAAACCTAAAAACAAGATAATGCAACACTTCATTTTCCACACTGCTAAATGATGTGGCCATAAGGTCCACTTGACTGCACAAAATACCAGATGAGTTTTGAGATTTGAAGAAAGCTGTGGAAAGCTCATGACATTAGGCTGATAATTTACCAGCTAAATTTAGGCTCAAACAAAATGAAAAGATACACAGAAAAGTCAAAAATCTCATTTTGACTGGTGTCCGTCTCAGCTAGGACGTCCAATTGTGCAGTAATTACTGAACAACAGTTAAAACTGTAAAAGTTACGAAATTTCCAAAAGAAATGTTCAAGTGTTTTTCTTCTCTAGCTCAACAGTTAATTGGAGCTTTTATACAACAATAAAATGTAGATGTTTTGTGTGTAAACTGCATAAGAAAAGGTAGACAGAAATGCAGAGTATAAAGTAAGCCTCAAATGGTCAATGTGTGCAAACTATATAGTAAGCTGTATAGAAAAAAAAAATCCAGATTCTAAATCTAAATAAGTTAAATCTGGTCCTCTGGACATTCAAAAAAACAAAACAAAACAAAAAAATTGTAGAAAGGTTTCGTCTTTCATCCGAAAGACTTCTTCAGTCTGAGGAGCTGTATTCAGCTCAGTCTCTTAAATAGCACCTTTTTAGAGTGGATCAACCAGTTTTGCTGCTGACAACCAAAACCAGCTGATCACATGCTCAAGAAGGACCATCAGCCTAACAATGGATCATTAGCACACTGATGGCTGCTTACTGTTCACAGAGGGCTGAGTGATACTAGCAATCACAGCATTGTAAGAGGGGGACAGTTGAACCCGGAGGCCTCCACCTCTGTTTAATGATGGACGGTTTCTTTTCACAAAGATGGCCTCCTTTACTCCTCTCTCAAACCATCGTTCCTCTCTGTCCAGGATGTGAACATCTTCATCCCTGAAAGAGTGACCGCTGGCCTGGAGATGAGTTTAGACCGCAGAGTCCTGGCCTGATGATGAGCATGCATCAAGATATCCAGATTCTAAAGTGTCATCAAATTGTTGTGCAACTACAATGGTTTATACAGAGAGAAAGAAAACCCTGAGCTCAAACATGAAATCAATGGGAGTTTGGATATGTGTACTCAGCACTTCGGGAGGATTTGAGAGAAAACATTAAGTCGTAAAGCAGTGACAGACACACTGAGGAAACAAAAACATCTGCTTAACGGAAAGTTGTAATTGTAGGAGAAAAAGATTTTGTTGGCAAACATTTGTGAACTTGTAGATAGCTCGAAGGTTAAGAGTGTGACATCATCACAACCTAAGATGAACATTTGGTTAAAACATTTATAAAAAAAATAATTAAAAACAACTGCTGGTGTAAAAATCTAAATCAAAATGTCAGTTCAGTATTGTAAAGCTCAACTTTTTGTCATCAGTTTAACGTTTGACTGATGTTTCAACTGAAGGATGACAAAAAGGGTTGGGATTTTTTAAATCATAATCCCATAAACCCATTCTTCTAAAGCTGTGGGAAGAGTAGGAAAGTAAAAATCACAATGAAAAACAGAGTAACAACTAGGAACAAGGTGCTTCGGTGTTTCTACATTAGTACCTATAATAAGTAAATAAGAACAGTCACATCACATGTCACAATCAGATTGCGTTTTATTTTTATAATATATAATCTGTGGATAAAAATGAAAAGCTGACCTCATCTTCTCCATTTAACTAAATCCCAAATCTTCCCTCAGCTGTGCCATGTGGTTTTCCTTTCTAACTAAATCCCTGTTGTCAAACGATTCTCTCAAATAGTTAATTTCTCAAGTTGTGTGTGAAAAGATTAATGGTTTGTATATGGACTGAAACTTGTGCCATCACAAACTGAATTTGAATTGCTGTTTTGAAACTAAATTTCACTAAATTGAAACAGAATTTAATGATTTCAAACTGAATTTGTTTGCTTTCGAAATTCAGTTTTATAATTCAGCTTCATTTTCAAAATTCAGCTTTTTGTGTAACGCATCCGGGTCCTTCCAGAGTAATCGAACGCAGATTGACATTTCATGTCAGTAAAACTTCCTTTAAGGAAATGTAGATTATGCGGTTCAGTCTCAAGAAGGTGGTAAGACACACACACACAAAAAATAGAAAAATAACTTATTTTTCGGAATATTTGTCTAAATCTTTTGGCACAACAGATTTAGACAAATACGTCGAAAAGGAAGTTATTTTCCTACATTATTTTTCTTACCACCTCCTTGAGACTGAACCACATATTTACATTTCCATAAAGGAAGTTTCGCTGACATGAAGCGTCAGTCTGTCAATCTGCGTTTGATTACTCTGGAAGGACCCGGATGTGTGACACAAAAAACTGAATTTTGAAAGCAAATTAATTCAGTTTCAACCATTAAATTCAGTTTTAATTTAGTAAAATTCAGTTTGTGATGGCACAAGTTTCAACTAACATAAGTTTCTCATATTTGTAACACAAACAAAATAATGTGGAAACAGTAATGCATGGATGGCACTGTTTTAGGTTTCATCCAGCTAACGGTTGTGATGATAAAGCAATAAACAGCTCAAAATATTTGATATGACTGAAATAACTGAGACAGGCCTCATTATATTATCTAAACTTTTTTTTTCCCCTCTAACATTCCAGTTGGGATTTTTTTCTACTTAAAAAATCAAACTGGATTTCACAAAATACATTTCCCTGGATCATCTGAAGCCACCATTCAGCCTCATGTCAAACAACATCTGTACTAAAGTGGAGGTCAAACAGACATTATTTTAATTAAAATTATAAAAATGTATTGTGTGTGTTCATACCGATCTCCATAGAGCATGGGCATCTGTAAGCAATGGAGACAAGTGTCATGGAACCACTGCTGACACCTGTGACACTGCAGCATCTTCTGATACCAGCTGCAAAGAAAAAAAGGCACATTACATTTTTTGAAAGAGATGGGATTTTTTTTTTGGGGGGGGGGGGGGGGTAGCATACAGGGACTTGCGCTTCAAGTTCTTAAGTGTTGTAGTGAGTCATGTGTAACTCACTCTCCTGGACCACCACAGTAGCAGTAGCACTGCTGCATGTTGGTCTGATGGCCCTGCTCCCATACCAGTTCCTCCAAGACATATGGGAAGGACAGATGTAGCTCCATATGCTGCTGTGGCTGCTGCTGCTGCTGCTCGTACTGCAAAAAACTTTTAGCAGATGACTCCTTCCGGTGTGAGCTTTCCCTCTGCAAACACAAAGAAAGAATAAATATGGCAGTAACAACTTTGTAGATGGTTATGGAGCAAAAATAATTATGTAAAAATAAAATACCTCAGTTTTGTTACACACTTAAAAAGAAAACCTGACTAACTTGTTTCTACTCTTGTTTTTTGTTCAATTGTTGTGTTAACTGTGTTATTGGAGTGTTAATACCACTTAGAGGCAGTGTTAGGACTCTGTTATAATCATCTGGTGTGTGGAATATTCCTGATTGTGTTTTTATACGCCTGTGTCTCTTTTACAACAAAGCAAAATAAGAATATGTTTAATATATGTTTATGTGTATAGACAGTAATGCATGATAGATATGTAGTTTTATTGCATTTTCATTCAAGATAAAACGTGTACCGTTGATAGAGACATGAGTTCACATTCTGAGCACAGCCATTTTTCATCAGAGTCAATGACAGCAGCGTCGATGATGGGGGAGTGACACACCTGATGGTAACCTGAAGGATAATAAACACATTTAGTGCCTTGCAAGCAAATTACTACCCTCATCTGACCCCAAATACCTTTACCAAAAATAAATTTAAACAAAATATTTTCATACTGAGTAACTTCAGATTAAAGGGACAGGGCAAACATTTTAAAATGGGGTTCTGCAGTAAGGTTATAAACGATAATTTATTTGTTGGAGATAGTTTTATGAATGGCCTGTGCTTGGGTAAATACAGCTGAAGTCCAGCAGGACATACAAGCTAGTCCAAATACACCCAAGACCAAACTTCTGTTATTTTAAAACTCGTAAAATTTTCACAATTTCACAGCTGTTCATACAAATACTATATTCTAAAACTTTATATTAGGGCTGCATTGATTAATGACATAATAAACTACAAACAAAATTGACAAAGTCCATGCTCAATAATCCAGGTATACAATCCAACTTTTTTCAGTCAGGTCATCTGGACAGTTTCTTTTTTTGTGCTGAAACGTTTCAACTTAGATCCGGAAGGCTTCATCAGTCAAGGAAACACACAACACAAAACTGATTCTTCCCCAAACAGCTTACTCCAAAGTGGAACAAACCAGTTATGTTAGTGCTAAGATGGAAAAAGTTGGATTGTATACCTGGATTATTGAGCATGGACTTTGTTGTTTTCAACCAGTTTGACATGACTGGTAACAAGGAAGAGGGCCGGCAATAGAGGAGGGGGCGTGGCAAAGAGACCATCTTAGCACCAACATAACTAGTTTGTTCCACTTTGGAGTAAGCTGTTGGGGAAAGAATCAGTATTGTGTCCCTCTGGATTATTTGGACTTGATCGGGACCACTGTGTGTTTTTGTGCTGGCTCTCCGAAGGTCCGGCTATCTCCAAAAGCATCTGATACTCAATGGCTGCAGAGAGCTGATCAGAACCAGACAAAGGCTGGTGAGTCCCCATCTAAAATTTTGCAGTAGCTACTGTGCAGTACATATATGCATGTTGTTAAAATGATGTACTGGTAGGTTTAAAGGTTGCAAGAGTGTGGGAAGGATTTATAAAGCCTTTATATAATATAATATAATATAATATAATATAATATAATATAATATAATATA